CGATTTGAAATATCTTAAGCAATGCGACATTGTCCCCTTTGAGGTCGATTCTCACTAAAGTCTAGCTCACGGTGCGCGCATTCTCCAGCCAAAATGCTATTCAAATTTCAAATGGGAGCATTCACGTTTGGCGTTTCGCTCAAGCTTACGGTTTAACCCCCATATTTCTAGCTTCGGGAATCTTGAACATGAGCGAACCGGCGAACTCCCAGAGAGAGCCCACAAAACAAGGCACTGTTTATTTATGTGTCCGGCTACCGCGATCAGCTGGAGAACATTGGATAGGGACTTTTTTAGGTGGAATTTTAGGCAGTCTGTTAGGTCGACATAGCAAACTTGATGCAATTTTTTTTTTGAAAATACACTGATGGACAAAATTAGCGTATCATCTATACATTTTCGAATAAATAATTTTTTTGGTCCCTTTCTGTTCATTCCAATGCAAGTTTCTACTTGTGTTGTGTCATTTGCAATATCTCATCATTGTTTTCAGCAAGTGTGGTACTGTTTTCGATTCAATTTTCTTGTGTTTTTCCTAACTTGTGTGTGTAACTAAAGTGTATTCGCATTGAAATGTCCCCAGGAAGAAATTTAAGTGAGTTTGATGCGGTTAAATGTGTCACCTTGTTGGAAAAAGGGTATTCCCATCGTGATTTCTCCCGAAGGTTGGGTGTTCATCACACCACCATTGGTCGATGTCTTCAGCGTTTTACAGAAACAGGTTGCCATGCTAGACGGCCAGAGCAGGGCCAACCAAGATCCACAAACCAAGTGGACGATCGTTTTAAATGACTGCAAGCTTTAAGAAATCGGTTTGTTGCCGGAAATGAGATAAAAAATCGAATTCAAAATGTCCGAGTTGTTGCAATTTCATCCAAAACGTTAAGAATACTTAATGAATCCGGATTGAGTGCAAAACATTCCGCAAAAGGTCCTCTCTTAACCATAGCCCACAAGCAAGCTACGCTTGAGTTGGTTCGAGATCACGTGGACTTGAATTTGGATGACTGGAAGATAGTCTTGTTTACTGATGAAGTCAGAGTGGGTTTAAAATCTTCAGATGGGCGAGCTTTTATTTGGAAAAGACCAGGAGAAAGATACAGCCAAGCATGTGTGGTTCCTCAACTGGTTTTCCGTGGTGGCTCAATAATATTTTGGGGTGGCATTTCCTTGGAGGCTATCCGAAGAAGATCATTAACTTCCCAGAAGTACATTCAAGAGATTTTGAAAACCATGTCGTACCTTTTGCACTTCACATAGGCGATTGTTTATGGATGATAATGTCAGACCGCACCGAGCTCTGATCGTGGACAAATATCTTAATCTTAATGAGGTGGGCATTCAACGTTTAGTGTGGTCAGCGCATATTCCTGACGTTTTTCTTTCGGAAACAGTCTCATATTTATTTAAAAAACAGTAATTTGAATTTTGATAAAAGCATGTAGGGTTTATAATATTTTTTCTTTGAAATTTATAGATGGTGCGCTAATTTTCTCCATCAGTGTAGTCTTGCGCCTTCCGGTTCCTCGCTTCCATCCTCTTATGTCTTCTCATTGCCCTGGTTGTAGGTTTCGTTCCAACATGGATTTTTGTATTCCATCCATCGATGTCGGCTTGGGTCTCTTTTCTTTCTCTCTGTTGGTGTCCATCTGAGGGTTTGTTTGGGAATTATTGTGTCATCCATCCGCTGAATATGCCTGTACCATATCAACTTTCCTCGTTGAATTTTTTCTATCATGTCTGTCTTGACGTTCATGATAACTCTGATTTCCTCATTCGTTATCCTCTCCAACCTTGATTTCCCTGCTGCTCTACGCCAGAAGTCCATCTCCAGAGAGCGCAACCGCCGCTCTAGGTGGGTAGTAAGTTGCCAAGTTTCGCATCCATATAGCATAGCACTATACTCTTAAATATTGAGTTGTATAGGAGGTGTTTTCTTTCTCGGGATATACATGTTGAGCATAAGATGGAGTTTAGGCAGCCGACCACTTTGTTCCCTTTTATAATGCCTTGTTCTATTTCTTTCTCTGTGCGGCCTCCAGTCTCAATTTTTGTTCCAAGATGTACGTATTCGGTGCATGCTCCTTTGTTTCGTTTTCTTCTGGGTGTAGGTTCCCGATGTACAAATATTTTGTTTTCGGTCGATTCATCGACAGACCGCATTCTTCATACTCTTTAAATAATGTTCTTGTCATGAATTCCAGGTCCTCCTTGTCCTGCGCTACAAGAACCTGGTCATCAAGCAAAATGTAAAGTATACAGCGTTCTTCTTCATTTTTGATTTTAGGCGAATTGCCTGTTCAATTATCGTCCACTTGTGTGAGGCTGTCGATCCATCGTTTCCCATTTCCCAATTGTCGGGAGCGATTTGCACAAGTCGGTGGTCCATCCTGCTTATGTGCTAATTCCATTCCTTACTGTTTACTACCCATTAATTGATGTTCTTGACATTACAGGCTGTTCGGATATTCTCGCGTCTCTCTCAATCCAGCAGTGTTTTTCCGGTGATTCTACGTACTACGAGTATTTTCATCTCAGCTGTCTCTAGGAGTTTTTTGGTTTTTGCTGTTTCTGGCCTGTTTCTGCGGTATATGCCATCACCGGCCTGATCCTCGATTTAGTGTCTGTTCCTATACTCTTATTACACTATATGTATATATTTCCCTTCCTTTTTGCTCCTGTAAGTGCAGCTATGTCTATAGTCATCGGTTGCCTTCCCTTCACAACATCTTCGGATTTTCCTGTTAATCCCTGTACGTTCCAGGTTGCAATAATAACTTCCTTATCCTGTTGCGTGGTTGTTGTCGATATGGTCCGTCCTTAATCCGAGGCTGTCTGCGAGGTTTTTTAGCATTGGATGTGTTTTAAATGTTATTTTAACATTGGATGTGTTATAAAAGCTAGCGCATTGCCACAACCCCCAACCTGGAGGGCCAGAAATTCTTCCCCTAGCCTTTGATGATCCAATACCAATGTCCTCCAAGGCAGTGGCTTCGCCGTACCCTGACAGGCGTAGGGTAGGGTAGGTTCCAGCTTTAAGAAAAATAAATCATACTGAGCTAAGCGCCTAGTGAGAATCAACCTTGCTTTGCTTTGTGGGCAAAAATACAAATGCACATCTCCCTGTTTGGGCGTCGTTTGCCTTCCTGTTTGGGCCCGTGCACGTATGCAACGTTTCGGATCGGTAGGCAAAAACCTCCAAAACCGGCCCGGTAAACTCATAGTTTGTTGATTGCGCTGCAGCTGGCCAATTTAAATCACCGAGGCTACAGCAGTCGGTCCTCGATACTAAAGTATCATCCGCCCCTGAACTACCGCCCCACATACCCCCCAAGCAGTTATCCAGCGGCCGCACCCTACGCGGGTCTAACGAGATTCTTTGGCAAAAAAATCAAAGACCAAACGCTGAGCGCGCGATTGTTGCGCAACCTGCTCTACTCCGAGTACCTGAACAAGAAGAACATCACGCAGGTGAAGATCCGGCATCACAAAACGGAGGTGGTGATAATGACGAAGAACTTGCACATCCGAGATAGTGTGATCAATTGTGATAGTGGCGATTGCGACTCGGACTCGGACGAGGCTGGGAGCAGTTCGTCGAGCAGCAATCCCTTCGGGTATATTCGGTACTACAATCCGAAGAATGGGTCGGCGATGGTGCAGGAAGGCGTGCGATATGAGAGCTTTGTTGACTATGGCGAACCTTGGAGGAATCAGGCTCGGGTTCTGGAGGAACCGCCGAAAAAGCCGAGCATAGTGTTGACGTCCACTGCCAAGCTGAATCTGCTCCATAAGCAGTGCTCGGAAGACTCAGAGGCCAGCTCAGAAATGGCGCCGCGCCATCCGGGCATGGCATGTGAAAACCTCCTCACCCTGCCGGAGAGCTTCGAGCTGGAATCTCTGAATGTCCCGACAAGTTTCATGCCGATGACCAGGCAGAGCTGCCCTACAAAGCTTGTAGGCAACAAGTTCAACCAGAACAGCTTGACGACCGTTTACATTCCCAATTGGTCCAGCAGCGAGAACAACATCTCCTGTCGGACCAGGAGCCGAAAAAGCCTAAAGAGCGATTCAAGCAGCACTACAACGCACTCCAGTAGCCTGGAAGTGCCGGTCAATACTTTTCCGATTCCGGACAAAATTGCGGCGGAACTGATGTACGGGCAGTTCGCGAAAGGCGAAAGCACCGAGTCCGATGCCACGGAACAATCTCAACAGACTGTGATAAAACCGCCGTCGATCCTCAATGCTAGTGATACTCTTAGTCTTAATCTAGAAACGATTCCCTTTCGAAAGCACAGTATTAATTCGGACAAGCCGAGACGGCGATGCAGCATTCAGATTAACCCGACGGATCTCAGAAATAAGGCTCTGAAGCGCTGCGTGAGCTCGAAGTATGTAAAGATGAGGCCGTCGGGCGGCGACCATCCAGCTGAGCGATCGGGAAAGGCCTTCTGTAGATGCGGTTCGGAGTATTGCCACAGCCCCAGGTCATCCGACTCAGGCATGGCGGGCAGTTGCACGCTGAACAGCCCGGACTTGGCCAACAGCACCGATATTGAGCAGGAGATCAGTATGATGCCGTTGCTGGATCAGGAACGTTTGGGCGCTGGCATCACTTTGAGCGAAATCGAGGCGAGGAACTTCGAATGCGACTGCCCTTGTTCTTCGCCGTTTGGCTCGACGCCAAGAACTTCGAGCGAAACGAGCCACACTAGAGACTCGCTGCGCACCACTTCCGTCACCAGCATGGACATGCTGCCATCCCAATGGGGCACGCAGCCCCAAATGCATTCCAGACTGTCCAGTTCCTTAGGGCCCCAAAAGTCCAAGTCGACGAGCTCGATTCTCGATCGTTCAGATGACGCGGAGGATCTGGCGGAGCCCGATGAGGAGGACGAGGACTCCCCGATGTTCAAATCGGGCCTTTACGCACACTGGTGGTTAAAAGCCAAACTGCCGCCGGAAATTGTGAGGGCCATCTATGAGGGGACGCGCGAAAAGTCAAAAACTGCAGGCAAGGGCGCATGCCACGTGTGCTCTGTTTTCTTTTCAATCGTATGTCTAACATTGCGGGTGTTTTTAGTTTTTTTTTTCATTTCCGGCTAACTATGCTTGCAATTTGCCCGATAAAGCTGGAGCATATGGGGTTGACTGGTTCGATAAACAGTACCTACTCAGTATTAGCAACCCGAAGAAGCACACAGATTATCCCAAGCTTCTTGGCAGTGACGCCATAATTGCCGTTCTTTTTCTATCACTTGTCTACCGAGCGAGGCGGCATTGTCTTTCAACAATTGTTAAAAGTTTCAAGAGAGCTTTTCAAATTTCTATATTAAAATCATTGATTTCTTGACGAGTGTTGACAGTTTCTATAAATTTTTGCAAGTCATAATTTCTATTTATCTTTACGTGTTCTACTTGTGTATTACCGAAAGCGCTTAAGCAAGGCCTGAGCGCGAAGAACAGACCCTTTTGCTCATATTTTCACCACCTTCCTCTTGGAAGAGATTCGCATTTTCATCTCTTCTCTTTGTCTTCTCTCATACTGTCTTCATAATGGTTTACCACCAAGAAAATAAGACACACAGTCCCAGTTAACGCCAAGACTGTACAATTGAGGCAAATTAATCACGAAACTGAAGAAAGTTATTTAGTTACCCGATTTATCGTTTGCAGTGAGAAAATGTAACCTCACTTTTGGAGGTCCAAATATTTTCAATGCGATTTTGTTATGTATATTTAAGCAACTTTTGAGATTTGAGCCGTTCAATAGTCAGCAATCGCGTTTGTTTTCATGTTTTGAATTCTAACTTTTTAAAGGGAACTTCTCATGAAACTTAATCAGCAAAAGACGGTTTGAAGAAAGCTCTTTCAAAAATCCCCATTAACTTTTAGCGTATTTTCATCAGTTTTCAAGATTTGAGCTGTTCACACTTCGGCAATCGCGTTCGTTTTCATATGTTTCCTTCTAACTTTTTAAAGGGAATTTTTCATTAAATTTAATCAGCAAAAGACGGTTTGTGTGGAGCTCTTTCAAAAATCCCCATTAACTTTTCACATATTTTCATCAGTTTTCGAGATTTGAGCTGTTCACACTTTGGCATTCGCGTTCGTTTTCATATTTCTGCTTCTAACTTTTTAAAGGTTGGAAGTTTCTCATGAAACTCAATCAGCAAAAGACGGTTTATGTGGAAATCTTTCAAAAAGGCTCCATTACCTTTTCACGTATTTTAAACAGTTTTCGAGATTTGAGCTGTTCAATGGTCAGCAATCGCGTTTGTTTTCACATTTTTGCTTCT